CAGGTTTGACCGATGTAGTGCAGTTCCGACCAGGCTGATGCAGATCAGTAGAAGGTGAGCGTTCAAGTCGAGTGTGGTGGTAGACCTGTCTGTAGTGATGGGTGTTGGTTGATATAGAGCAGACCAGTCTGGCGTGTCAGACCGGTCTGACCAGACCGATCTGATACGCCAGTCGAGTGTTGTGTTGGGTGACTGTAGTCAGATTCAGACGGGTCTTTTGAGACCAGACTGGTCTGGATCCAGTGTACATACTAGTCTGGGATGCTGTGTAGTGCTGTCAGACTGGTCTGGCTCATGTTCGAGTTTGTACAAGTCAGATTTTGTTTAGTGGGGCCAGACTAGTCTGAAAATGACTCGACTGTGACTTGAGCCCGCGATATGTAACTAGTCTGAGCGTCGGAGTAGTCTGTCTACTGCTTTGGGGCTCGACACCGTTCAGATTACACAAGCTACAGACGGTTCTTCATCGTAGAGTCTGTGCGCCAGAGGTGAGCAGAAGAACTAGCCCTTGACAACGGAATCGATCCCGAAGAAGCTGTTCCAGTCAGCAAAGGAATCAAAGAATTCCAGGTTGATGACCATTCTACATCAATCAAAGATGAAGCTGAAGGCCAGGTCAAAACCCAAGCTTCTGACTTATTTGCTAAGACGGATCTCAATTTTCCTTTATCCGATGACAGTTTTGACTTGAACTGGCACAACGACTTATGGGGTGATGGACCAAGATGTCCATTATGTGATGAACCATTACCCAAGAACCCTTCTGAGAAGTTTAAGGAGATGCTTTCCTTTCAGATGGCTAAACCACATGCCAAAAAGCGACCGCTTCCTGGTAACCGGGATCTGGTGGAACTTCCGGTGTGTACATGTGTTCTCATGTAGACACTGCTATGCGAGCTTATATTTTTGAATTCCACCGCTAGTATGTTAAAAGAGCTTCAACATGTGAACAGCACAAAAAGGAGTGCAATATAATTCCACACGGGGAACAGCTTGGCTGGCCCTCATCAATCAACTCAGAGTTGTTGAGCAGGTAGGTGTCCTTCTATGTAAAGTTTCAAACAGCGCTAAACAGGTTGATTGATACAAATATATAGGCGTGTTACAGAACTTGAGGAAGCCTTGAGACAACTTGTGAGCCATAAAGAGGACTCGGTATTCTACGCTCAAGCGACTACGTCATGGAGAAGACATCGAGGCAACAGGAATCATATGATGAACAATTGGGAGGAGTTTGATGTTGAAAAGCCCGGATAGTGAGTTTCTAGATCTCTTTCCTTCTTTGATTCCAGTGTCAAATTAGCTGAATGATTTTGGTTGATTTTTGATCATAGCTATGGCTTGATTGACCTTGAAGTGATTTTGAATACCCTGGACAACATATTCACCAGACCTTCCTCAGCTAAGCTCAAGCTCGATGACAATCAAACTTCCCCTTTACCCACCGATATTTTCATTTGGCAAGTGTTAGTTCCAGAGGTAGCAATAAGGTTGATTGGTGAAGATCTCAACCTATCACCAAATAATCCCCAGGTGCACTCTACTCTGGAAGATAGTCGGTTGTATGGTGTTGCACGCTTTTTGGAAGCTGAAACCCATGTAGACACTGAAGATCTCGAGGTTGAGAATACACCTTCCGTTCCATCTTTTCGAAACAATCTCACTGCTAGATTCCTTGCACAGGTTCCAGAGAGAATGGTACCTTATCTCGGTGTAAATTACAACCCACCGGGCGACAGACACTGTGGATATCACGTCATTGCTGCTGCGACTGGAAACAAGGGGACAGGGGGCTACTTGTTAGTTTGAAAGAAATTACTTGAAGAATTCACCACACATTGCAAAGTCCACGAAGGTTTCTTGGCAATACCAGCATGACCACGTGCAAAGCCTTGTCGTGTTCAGGACAGATCTCAGCTAGTAGGTGTTGCCTCTGTGGAGGAGGCAATCAAAAGGCTCAACTGCAAAACACTCTCATGTACAGACGACTTCTGGCTCAGCATGCCCACCATGGGATATGCGATAGCCAGCGCTTTTGAACGGCCAGTTATCTTACTTGTCAAAGAAGTATGGCTGTGTTGGGGCTTCCTCCCCTATCGAATAGATTTCAATCAATCCAAACCAATAATTTTGTCCTTTGTTGACAACAAACACTTTGTAGGTTATGATGTTCAGTCAGGATTAATCCCCTTTCCACCGCTCTTCCGCCAGGGCTGGACTAATTGTGGAATTCCATATGTTACTTGTTGGAAGGCCAAGTTTACCCAGTCTTGGAAACTCTGGCAAGATGTAGTGCTTCCCTCTCACAAAGTGAAACATTGACAGTCTGGCCGTTAAATTGATTGACACTCACAGCCCCCAGCTACTAGGCTCTGGCAGGCCAGAGATTACGTCGGCTTCAAGAAAGCTTCATGAAAGATTCAGAAAGATTTCAAACTGACTTCAACATAATCATATTGGCCATTTGCCTGTCCGACCACCAAAATTCCGATGTCATCATATGACGTCATAAATCTGTACACACCTGCTCCTGTATTCACAGATCAAGAAGATATAGTTTATTAAACTTTATCATGTAAATTGACTGAGTTATTGAGGTTTGAAAAAAAAATCACGGATAAAAAATACTATTTTTGTACTATACATAAGAGTGGGATCTTGGATATCTTGAATCTCTATCAATATACATATAAAATAAATTTCATATTCCACTGTACAATACATGTTTCTACATTTTTCATTTTTGCAGCCTTTGTCCAAAAGGCATATTTCTATATGTAATTGTGAATTCTACATGAGCAGTCCAATCTTTCCCTGATTTGTTGATTCTAGGAAGGATATGGATAAATTGATGACAGAAACTTTTGGAATTATTATTTACATGCATACCAGTCTATTTGTGCCTAATTTGGGCCCTGCAATTCATCACAATTTGCCTCAAGGTCAAAGAATTTCAGAAAATCCAACTTCTGTATATAATCCACAATTACATATAAAAATACTACCCATAGACCAAGGCTGTAGGGAACAGAAATTTGGAGAAACATAGTGCGGAAAATATTTTCAAATTTAATCTATATGTATATTGACAAAGATTGAAGATATTCAAGATCCCAGTCTTGTGTATAGTACAAAAATAGTATTTTTTATCCGTGATTTTTTTTCAAACCTCAATAACTCAGTCAATTTACATGATAAAGTTTAATAAACTATATATTCTTGATCTGTGAATACAGGAGCAGGTGTGTACAGATTTATGATGTCATATGATGACATCAGAATTTTGGTGGTTGGACAGGCAAATGGCCCCATATGATATTATGTCACAGGGGCCAAAATTGATGCTCACATGTATGTGAGCGTTGTAGACTTTCTTGAAGTCTCTAAAAAAGATTCATTTTCTTTCAGATTCATTCAATTCACAATTTTGGTTGTGTTCAGGTGATCAGCCTGTTTTGCTCACATTTTGCTTGACATTTCTTGAGAAGGCTCATTTCCATCTTGGATGAGCAATAACTGAGTCCAGATGAGTACTCAGGATCAGCTCATGAGTCACTGAATACTCAGCAATTTGGTCAAAATTACAATGAGCACATGAACTACACCTTCCTCAGGCTTCATTTCTTAGTGAAGGCCTGCACAGGGGCCGTCCCATTTGATATGCTCAGGAAATACTCAGTATCATCCCCTGGCTGGGTCATTGATGGGCCAGACTTCCTTGCTAAGGAATGAAACCTCATAAAATAGCCATCCCCCTGCTCAGCTAATCCTAAGTGATGTCCCCTGGATAAAGCTGCTCACACTGAGGGGCTGAGATCAACTGAGCAGCCCCTCAGCTAGTCCTCTGTGACATCCTTTGGATCCTTCTGATCCCAGGAATGCCCCTGAGGACTAGCTGAGCAGCTGAGCAGTCCCTCAGCCAATACTCAGTGACATCCTTTGGATCCTTCTCCCAGGAATGCCCCTGAGGACTAGATGAGCAGCCCCTCAGCCAATGAGCAGTGAAATCCTTTGGATCCTTCTGATCAAGGAATGCCACTGAGGGATAGCTGAGCAGATGGGCATCAGGCTTCATTCTGGAGCCATGAAGCCTGAGGAAAGGCTGGACCTATGTGATCCATCCAAGGGATGCTGCAGAGAATTAGTCAAGAGGATACTCAGGTCAGCTCAGCCCCTAAGCTAATCATAAGTGGTGTCCCTTGAAGCCTACTGGACCAGGGAATGCCACTCAGGATCAGCTGAGCAGCTGAGATAAACTGAGCAGATGGATCAGCCCTTCCTCAGACTTCTTTGCTCAGGAATAAGGCCTGAGGAAGGCTTAGTTTGTCTGCTCAGTCCCTGTTGATCACATAATCAGATGACAAGCAGAAAGAAATTGGAAAGAAAAGGGAAAGAAAAGGAAAGCAAAATTGAACAAACATTGAAGAAAACACAAAAATTTCAACGCTCACACCTATGTGAGCATCTATTTTTGCCCCTGTGTGTTGAAGTCATTTTGAAATATTTCTGAATCTTTCATGAATCTTTCATGGAGTCAGTGGTAGGCTCTGGCCTACCAGAGCCTAGTATATGGGGGCTGTGACTACAAGCTTTTTTTCATTGTAGTAGACTATACAAGACTTTGTGAAAGCTGTAGATCTTAGATCTTATATTATACAAAAAATCCAATAATTAGATCAGTAACATAGATTGGTTTCAAGACGTTATAAGAGTTGAGAGCCGTGATTCCTGTGAGCTTGTTCATACTTGCTGGTGAGTGAGATGACCCAGATCGAAATTTGAGGCACATCGAGAAGTGTTCAAATTGTATTGATGGCTGACGGGTTGTCGTGAGAAGTGTTGGTGTTGAACTGGAGCAAGTGGGAAATGCCGAGTGACTTGGTGGTACACAAGATGTGGAAGTCAGAAGTGTGACATGTTACATGTCAATACTAATTCATAATGTGAGAAAAGGAGACAAACTTTTAAAAAAAATAGAAACAAATGTGAACCAAGTGTAATTACAAGGATTTCAATTTTGCTTTGAACGCTTCCATCTCAGCCTTCTGCTTCTCACTTTTTATCATATCACATTTACGGATCAACTCATCTGCATAATTCTCAACCAATGTTTCTCGATAAATTTCCCACTCTTCATCACTCCTGTTGCCTTGCATGTCAGTAATCTGGTTGAGACGTTGAACTATACTTTTAGCAATTTGACAAGACAATCCAAATCGTGTTATATTTGCGTCCTCCGGTTGAATAGGTTGATGATCATGAGTAAAAGTCTTGGAGTGAGTAATATAGTGTTTGATGTCTGATGCCCAAACCATTTCAACAACTCCATCACATCCATCAAAATCAATCTCAAAATTGTAGTCAGGAAATACAAATCGAGCTCCTTTAGTATAGCCATGCTTTGAGGTTCTTCCACGTCAATAGAGTCTCCCAGTATCTCGATGAATTAGACCAAATAATCCAAAGGTATAGCCAGAATGATTGTTATCAACATGCACCTTGTTAGCAAACTCGTCACGTGTGACAACAAAATTGGAACCAAAGACACGTCCATTGGGTGATTTAGAAAATGACTTTGATGCCCAGGATGGTCATTCACAGTTGGATTGAAAGGCACCAAGGGATAGAGAGGAAAAATGTTCAGCTAGGAAGTGATTGATGTAAGGAAGATACATCTGACGTCGTAAGTCATTTTCCATACGAGCCACAAGTCGTGCAGTGGTCATTTTGAAAGCGTAAGGACCTAGTATACAGAACGATAAAATCAATGTCTCCTCAAAATCATAGAAAAGTCAAAAAGATCATACTAATAGATACAAACCACCAAATTTTTTCTTCCTGTATCCACCATGAAACCCTACCACAAACATCTGACCAGACTTCATGTGCTTTAGAGCTTCAGCTGCACCATTTGTCACACAGCAATATCAAGCAGTTCCATGTTGATATAAAGTCATCATTCGTTATTGAAGTTTTCAAATAGTTTTGCACACTCAGGTACAAGTTCACGCTTCAATTTTCCGTTGTTCAACCGTTTTTCAGTATAATCACGTTCGTTGAATCGGACCACAGCAAGGAGCTTGGTTCCATATTTATTCAATAAGACTACAGTACCAAAAGTGAGTGATAAATACTTTTGTTTTCCATGCTCATTTCGAAAAATAAATGTAGCATCTCTAGGAAGACCAAATTGATCACAGATCTTTTGTTTAAATTCAGCACGGATGGGAGCTCTTTTCTCAGCTCGATTCATGTTCAAGATTGGATCAGAAGAAGGGGTTGGAGGATTTTGATGATTAACCCAACGAGCAACTATCTTGCTTTTCTTAATTGCTATTCAAATTTCCCCTTGATGAGCATTGAACTTCTTTTGACTGTGTTTACGTGATGGAGATTTGTATTTGTTCTTATCACTAATAAAATGTAAAAATGAAATATCATCAGTTTAGGAATCCTAATGGTCAGAGAGCATCACACGTTGAGTGTCCATCCAACACTTGGATAATGATGACTAGGGCTGGCATAAGGTCTGCGTCAAACCCTACCCACAAGATTCTGGTGCGTGAAGCCAACCCAGTCTTGGGGAGGACAAGTACAGTTGAACCTCATGAAGTGACCGTAGGTCATAATTATCCAAAACCAAATTGATAGTGGAATGGTGTTGACATCAAGTAGTCCTACATCCACAAAGTGAAGAATGAACATGCAAGATACAACATCATCCACTATCAAATTGGCCTGTGAGACTTCTGCGTGTACTGGTCTCTGACCATAATGGAAGAAAGAATGAGGTTGAATCTCACATCATTATGAAGATTTAATTGGATGAATCGAAAGATGAAAACTCTCAATTCCTTTGCAAAAATTGAGATGACAGTTTTGAGGTTAAATAAATTTAATTTGATTGGTTTGGACAGTGAGATGTTAAGACAATTGATTTTGGTGGAATGTGATGAAAACAAATTGGTTTGGTTGAATTGAATGGAAACAATTTGTTCCGGTTGAATCAAATGGAATCAATTGTTGGAATTGAATGAAAACAATTGTTGGAATCAAATGGAAACAATTGTTGGAATCGAATGAGAACGATTGTTGGAATCGAATGAAAATGATTTGTTTTTTGTTTAATTGTGATTTGTTTTTTGTTTAATTGCAATTTGTTTTTCGTTTAATTGAATGAGAACAATTTGTTTTCCGTTTAATTGAATGAGAAAGATTTGTTTTGGTCGAATAGTAAATTGAAATGATTAGGGGTAGGGGAATGATCCGCGTCCCACAGGGGTTTCACTTTGGGGATCCCCAAAGCTCCGGGGACGGGGCGAGGGCCTAGACATGTAGTGTGTCATGTCACAAGCAAATGAACAATACACAAGGTGGCCACTTGGTGAAGTTGTGGGTCAAATTTGACATTTGATCTTCATGACCGCCCGGTTTTCAGAGGGGGCGGTCAGCGTTGCATACAGCTGAAATCTGTCCATACAGGTGAAATGCTGTTCACAAACGCCCGGAATTTGAATTCCGGGCGGTCACGGTGAAGCGCACCCGGGCTGGGTTTAGTATTTTCCTTTTTTATTTGGCCTTTTTCTCCTTGAGTGTTCCCATTCAATTCCAATTTTGCTCATTATTTGGGCAGTAAACCCTTTGAACACCTATTGTTAGCCGGGTCTGGCTGGGTTACTATTATGAGCCGTACCAGGCTGTGGGACACCTATTGTAAGCCGTGACAGGCTGGGCTGCTATCCTAAGCCGGGCCAGGCGTACGTTCCTTTCCATTTTAAATATGTCATTATCTACCTCAGAAAAAGGAAAAAATAACAAAGTGGTAACCTTCTCTTTCACTCACTGTACCTTTGCCTGATACATTGGCATAGATACAGTGTTTGCAGATTCTCTTTCTTGAAAATATTGAACATTTTCAACTATTGAGACAACTAGGAAACATGATCCTAAGATAATAGAACGGTTCTGGAGTATTGGAAGTGTGATATGGAGGAAAGGACAAACCAAGAAGGATGATATGGAGGAAAAAACCGGAGTAAATAGGAAGGAAAAAGCGGAGTGCGTGACTTCTAATACAAATTGTTACTTACCACTGGTGTCTAATCCTTGCACCTTGCTTCCATCGCCACTCTCTTCTTCTCCTTCTTCCCCCTCTTCTATTCCTTTCCATTCTTCTTCTTCACCCAAATTTTGATTTTCTTCCTCATGGTTCTCTTGATCTTCTAACTCCTGTCTTTCATTTTGTCTCCTCTCTAACGTTGACCGTCTCAACCCCCTAGGTTGTCTTCCATGCATGCTTCCATTGTTTGATAGAGGTCTATTTGAAGTGTTGCTTCCAGCTCCATTTTGACACCTTGCTGTGTTCACTCCTCTCTTTGGTGTTATGAGACAATTTCCAGGTTTGATTCCTGTAGTTGCTGCTGCTGCTCTTGTTGGTCTTCTATTCAGATTAGCTTCTGTTTGCTCAATTTGATTTCAAAGGGACATCTTCTATTTTGTTTTTTCTTCTTTCTTAACTTCCTAAGTATTTTGTTTGGCCGTGTTGAGTTTTAATTTTATTGATTGAACATATTGTTTGAACTTCAATTATGAAAATAAAGATTTTTTATAAAATCCAAAAAGGTTAAAGGAAAAGGCAAACCTTAGGATTGGTGTCCCAAACTTGAGCGTGAGAACTAATGCACTGTGCAAATGAATCGTGGGCAAGGAGAATTGGTTTGTAGTTCCTTCCCCCGAAATTGGGTTTGTGCATGACATGTAATACTATCTGTCGTGTATTATTTTCACCGTTTGTGGACACAGCCCACCAAAGCGTTCCTTTTTTGGTGTGTTCAAACCTATTTCAATATGCCCTCATTTCTCTCTTACATATTTTAACATCAATGGTGTAGCTCTTGTATAGTCCACATAAGTCATATACCATACATTTTTTGGTATTTGACCCGTCAGCTTATCTTGCTTTTTAGAAGAACTACTAGCTGCTATATTCAGATCTAATTCTATCCATTGGTCATTAATGATTGTAAGAGGAAAGTGAATATCCATTTTCTTTAAATGTTTGTTTCGGTAGTGATTAGATGATCTGAAATTTTGATCTGAGACCAGACCAGTTTTGTGACCCTTCATGGGGTTCATGTTCTTAGCTGATCCTGATTGTACTGGTGTTTCTAACAATTTCACAAAAATCAACAATTTTTGTATTACCCATGGCTAACACCATCTTTGCTATGTCTACAGATATTTCTACCAACAACAGATGTCAGTTCCTAATCTCCTTACACTACGAAAAAAATAATATTTTCCGCGCGGAAAATAAAATCCTACATGTTTCAAAATGAAGAGCGCGGAAAATTTTAATGCTATGTAACCTCACATTAATTGCAATCCTAGTGTTACAAACACTCTCATCACTCATTCACTGTTGGTTTCATAAGCTCGCTGTACTTTGTTTTTGAGTCAAAGTCTCCTACTACCGAGATTTTCATGTGAGAAACCCTCTGGAACCCTCCCATTATGCTCTGCACAGAGCATACCCGTCAGCAGAATCTTATGCCGACATTTGAAAAACTTCAATTAAGAATGATACTTTGAGTGGCTGATGTGACCAACCATGTACTCATGGCTCTGTATCCGTTTTGCTGTTTGGAATCCGCATCAAATATACACAAATATTCTATAGTTAATTACACTAATGCACATGCACGTAATTGGATATTCCCAAGAACTCTGATGTCACCTATCTTTCGACTTTCAACACCTCATTTCTCAGAAGATATCAAATCTCATGACTCCTCTTCTTCAAAAGTAATTGGAAGCAGGTGGGGAGTCATCAGGATTCAGCCTCATGTTGGCACGATAACCTCGAGATCAAGTCATCCCAACATTTAGGATATTCTGGAATACGGAATTTAATGAAGTATGTGTACTCCAGCTAGATCCTGTTGTAACCGTACATATAAAGCTTAATTAGTCCATGGTCGATTCCTCCAATCATCCAAAACCAATCATAATGATTTCAGATAGATTTGATCTGAACATTCCTGGAGTCGGCAAGCAGGCCATGCTTGACTGGATGCACATCAATCAACCTATGACATTCATCAAGAAAAATGAAAGCAAGAATGAAGTAGCTCAGAAGGTGCGAGAGGCGCAACCCGACCGTAAGCCCCTACTTTTGTCCTCCTCGATCTTGTTCTGTATATCTCCATTTTTCCCTTCTTATTCTCGCAATTATATATACTTAAGGCCAACTCGACTTTTCTCTACGTGTGCGCATATATCATCTTAATCATTATCAACTCAATACTTTATCTGTCATAGTTTTTCCTGACCCATTCAGCAAAGAGCCTCTGAGTCTGGACTGTCAATCTATAGCATTGAGAAACCCACATCCGCCGGAACCGTCAGCTTCAGCAAATGGTATTTCTATGGTTTTTTTTCTGTCCATTCAAGGTGCCAATTTGATTGTTCCTCCCTTTTTCAACTCGCAGAAATTAAAGTGAAAGACACAGAAGGTGTCATCAAAATGAAACGGAGTTCATCGCCTGGGAATCAACTGCCCAACAAGAAGAGGGTAGTATTGGGGAAATCTTGCTTATCAAAAAGTGCACTTTGCTCCCAATTACCTGGAGCCCTAGATCAAGGTGCTATCAGAGTCGATGGCAAGGTAAAAAGAAAGGCGAGTCTCTCCTACACAGATCAAGTTATCAAAATAAAAGGTTTGTATCATCAAATATACACTCATCATCGTGCGGGTCTTCTTTTGTTTACAGAGTGTTTGATACGACAGCTTACCCAGCCCCAAAGCATCTGGATCTCACAAGGTTTGTCAACTATCAACCTTTTTATTCCCTCCATCTCTCCAACCATTTGAAGATACACTAAAGGAAAGGATGATCATCAGTTCAGGGAGGCGTCCAAGGAAGCAAATCTTCGGCCTTTTGATTCAACTTGTTCTGAACGCGGTACTACTAGTGGTATTGTGAAGGTAGAGGTAGAAGACCGAAAGCCATTCCACAACCGTCAGAAATCGGACACTGCCCCTCAAAGCAAGCCAAATCCAACGACTGCTCCTTCAATCAACCCCTCAGAGTCCGCTCCCCACATCACCCAGCAAGCATCACAGCAAGAACGACTTGTGTCACTGACTCCCGAGGACACCACACAGCCTTAACAATACGCTAACGATCTTATATTCTTTTCAGATCTTGATTTGTTTGAGCTCGAGAACATTGGTGGGCTTCCATCTTTTCTTCAGCAATTTGTTGGTCCATCTGACAATTAATCTCTATGCTTAGTGGACGGTCGAGACATCCTGCCAATTGCGCCAAATTATCAGAGTGTTCAGATCACTCCAATTGCTAGCTCATTGATTCCAAGCAATGAGACTGAATCAAATCCATCCAACCATAACACGAAGAGGTCAGGTCTCAATGTATTCCAAGATGAGAGACATAGATCTCTTCAATGTGTGTTGGTATATTTTCATAGAATTGTATTTTGATCTTTCTTTGAGCTGATATTCAGTAATCTTTATAGTGTCTATGCTTGAAGAACGTATGGATTCTATCGAGAAAAAAATTGATTCCCTTCAGGAGCTTCGAGCACGCGTGGCAACTGTAGAAGAGGACATTCAAGTGGTTCGACAGCGCATTGCTTGCGTGGAAACAGATAACCAAAAAGACAAAAAAATCCTTGAAGAAGTCACTGAAAATCGTATGAAACTGCTTGAAGGTAATGTGAAAGAATTACGCTCGGTGTTGACCAAAGCAACTGGCGATGTTGAAGCACATGGTAAGGTACTACTAGGCTTATTAGAAGAAGACTATGATGAACAAGGATCAGAAAGGAGCATAGAAGGAGTGGAGTCTAGCTTAGGTAGTTTGTGAAGGGTATGGTGTTATTATACTTGATGAAGAATCTCACATTTGTATGTTATGAGTCAAACTTTGTGGAATTGGAATTTTTTTGAGTGTTCACCTTTGTAAAAATGAGCACAATTCGAGAACTTCGATAGATTTCCACAAGTATCAAGTGAGAACAGTTGAAGTGCCGCAAGCGACTAGCGCTAGCTAGTGACATAAGGTAAGTTTACGTTGACAGGAGCCTACAAAGACAGAAAAGACTTTCTTTTTGTCATTTTACTGTCCATCTCACCTTCACGATTGACTTGATCTTGATCTTTATCACCAGCCTCCTGTTTTTCAAATCTGTCAGGATACGATTAGCTGTTTCCTGACAGTATTGCTTATTTTCGTATATTGAGGCCGTTATATTGTCTCCATCTTGATCATTACAAACAATCATCAATGCACTGCTTGACTAGACCAAGTCTAATTGTTATTGTAACTACCTTATTTTATCTGTAGTTTGTATCGATATTTTTCACACCTTTCAGAAAAGAGGTGTTTCAATGTTGTGAGTTGGATGACTATGTCTTATTGGAAGGATGAAACATCACAAACAACCTGAAGGAGTCTGAGAATGAAAAGAAAAAACAATCACAGTAGTTTTGGACCAGAATTGAAAGAGAACACAAAAACGGAACAGAGAGCGAGTGATTACTCCAGATCTTTTCAGCAAGGAAGAGGTTTAAACAAAATACGTGAAGAGGAAGAGATAATATATCTAGAACATATATGTATACTAAGAAACCCCCTTCCCAATGAATTCCTGATAATTCAATTCAGCAACCACTATTCATATTTACCACGTATTTTCTAATTACTCGATTTGACCAGCAAACAACGCACTAAAACAACGTAACCAACTGACTATGAAACCCTTCAATTCTGAACCTGAAAACACATCCTTGATATTTGCGCACAAACCAACTCTCAATTATAAGGTATAAGTATTGATCAACATGTGGCTTTTGATATATGGTGTCAGATATGGCTAGGTTTCAGGAGAAAGTTGATGTTTGACAAGGATGTCCCTAGCAAATTGAGTCTCAATTGATCACTGTCGAGTAAATTGAGAATAATAAAACTTCTTTTTGAATGAAAAACTTACCTATGATGCTTGAGAAACGCTGTAATGAATCCAACATCTTGGACGCTCGTATTAAACATTTGCTGAAGGTATCTCAATGAAGCGTTTGTACATTTTAACTTTTCTTCGAGGTCTTCACATTCCGTTCGTGAGAGATTGGGCTGCCGTAACCAAAACTGAAGACTTTCAATGGACGCATGAGAATCTTGAAGGTGGTGTAAAGTCTCGTGGAGGGCCTCAATGGCTTCAGTTTCGATAAGCGCAAGTGCATCAATCTCTTCCTTCTGAAGAAACTTATAATTGGTGAGGAAGTACATGTTTAATTGTTCGGATGCAAGTCGATATTTTCCGTTCTTGAAGTTCATGAGACCCCACGCATTGAAGTCGCCAATCCGTTTTGTGTTGAGATCTGCACTGGAGTTGATCCATCTGGTAGACTCTGCAGGTATGTAAATGGGGTTTCCGCATAAGGCTTGAACATAATTTTTTTCACGGTTGAAAGAGGTGATGAATTGAGTTAAACACGGGGCAATCATTTCGATGAAAACTTTCAAGAGGAGCTCATGATTGTTGAAAGCATTTTCAGTAAATCGAAGATGAGGATAAAATGCCAAGATTACCTCCACAATCTGGGAGGGTGTTGCTTTAGTTATGAACAAGTCGGGATCGATCCTAGGGTTATCTTCACCAACGACGTATTCAAGGATATAAGCAGGTAGGAAAACGGAAGAGTGGAACTCATTGCACAACACCATGATGCACTACTAATTGATTTAAAGATGATAATAATCCAATATATGAAGAGAGGGATCTAGAGGACGAGATGGGTTCAGATGGGGTCGTATATTATATGAACTTTGGGGAATTGCACTGATCAGAAGGTTGTAAAGCTTTTGATCTTATGTTCTTTCCTAGATGGAATCAACGTGCATATAATCAAGAGTAATTAAGTATAATTACTGTCAATTATATCCATGCACTCAAACTGAGACACCGTAGATCCCCAAAGTTGATTCAGGTTATTTTCTTGTATGTACAATGTATTTCCATGTATTTTGAACAACTTCTCGCTCCATTCAAAACATTGAATGGTAACTAAGAAGACTGTACATTCCTTTTAATTATCTGATCAGCGCGTCATGAATTGACAAACTCTGTGGCAAGCTACAAGAATATCGGTGTTGTCGTAGATCAGAAGTCGGATTCCCTTATAGCTTCTGCATCCCGAAAGTCACAGGTGTGTTTTCTACGTACCAACACGGTAACATTCATAAAGATAAATGATATTGGATAAGTCAGCACGTGTTATGATCATTAGAGGTAAGACTTGTATACTTGGTGAAGACATCGGGATCAGGTGAGCGTAATAGCATGCGCGCGTATTGATATATGTTTTGAGCCTTGCTGAGCTCTTTATAATAGCCGTCCTGGATCTCTCTGTCTATGGCAATGATCGTGTTGTGTAAATTCTAAAGTTCTTGGATGTTGAAGCAATTGTATTTTTCTATATGACAAGCAAGAGGTTGATCTTATGCAGTACAGTAGAAACCGTGACGGAGGCACAGTTTGATCCACTCAAATGATCTGACTCGGTCCGGCGGATTATCTTGTGCTAATTTGATCTTGGTTCTTGATTATGAATCAATAGAATCTTGGCAATTCCTTTCAATCAAACTTGATCAGAACTCAGTAACAAAAGTATTCATTAACAGAGCAATGGATGTGTACGGTTTTGTTCTTGATGTTGAAAGGCTGTGGGATTAATATTTTCTCTTGTGTCTTCTTGTACACATGAATCCATTCTTTGAGTGGTTGGCTTTGTCCCAATTCCACAAACCTCTCAGAAGAAGTGGGCTCACAAAACAAACGCACATTAATTAGTGGCCCCTCTTTTTGAGGGTATCTGCTATATTTGTTTGAATAAAAAGTCACACAAAGCGTTAAAAGCTATATAAGTTGATAATTTACCATGGACACCAATATGACTAACGTGAAAGGACCTTAATTACCAACCAATCATAATATATTTTGCTCTATCACTGACGCTTGAGCGCGTGGCTACTAGAGCCTGTACTATAATCCCTGTGTGTGATTCTCGGACACAAAGACCTCAGATTTGGCACTAGATGAGGTGGCAAAGTGTAATTATTGGATGACTGTTCCGGCTTGGCAACCAGGAGGATTCTGAGGTAGTTGATTATTAGTCAATCCTACCTTCAAGCTATTGGGTGGTATTTGATGTGATTGGTGATGATGATCAAACTTGATCAAAGGATCTCAGATCAGGCCTTGGATACAGCCAAAATCATAAGATCAATCCTTTCCCTTGATGAGTTCAAATTCTAGGTAAATTCTTTGCGTCTACATCCAGTTTCTTGAAATTTCAAGCATCTTTATGTCACCAGTTATGGCAAATTGTTTTTCTTCAAAGTCACATTTGATTCTATTTTGATTCTTGAGCGATCTTTTTGATCACATTGCAGCAGCATAAAAGTTCTTCACCAGCATCATTACTACGTCTATACTCAAAGCGTTAGGTAATCAATCAATCATGTCTTCAAAGCCCAATTTGACATCGAGCCGTTGGAGTCTACGTAACATCAAATTTCCGGACAAACAGGTCGAACCCTGTCCAATAGAAAGCACAGTGTCAAACACGTCAAGACTGATTGAAAAAACAAAGACCAAGAAAAGGAAAAACGAAACCAATCTGCGACCAAGTGAGGCTTCATCTAGACAAAAAGCTCATTTAAATACTGCTTTATACTAGTTATAAGATGTGATTCAACAAACATGCAGATGTAAATCAGACGACCGATACCACAATAAAAACATCCCTTGAAGATGTGGGTGTGTCAGTGGGGGCAAATACTACTTGTGAACGACTCCTAGACCTACTCAATTCCCGCATCAACCCAAAGAGGCCTCGCCTGTCTGGTGACAGGAGGAGAATTCCGTCGAAACACGAACAAGTGAAGACGACTGTTTCTCCTTCATCCACCGAAAACAATGTTTCTGCATTGCTTTCTACGGTTGATGTCTCAATTTATCATGTTTCGGACTTGGAGGATATCACCGTGTCAGTTTTGCTATAGCACCTCGACGTGCACACACAAAGCCGTTTGAAACAAAAATGAATGATTTTTGTTTTGGAATTGACTGGTAGACTTCGGTGTACCCCAGAACTCCCCTTGTAGACGCCCATCAAAGGCCAACTGGATGTTGCTTGATCAGTGGTTATCTCTCAACCCGTTTCCACAGCCTTTATTTCGTTTTCATATTTCCTGAACAGTCTAGTACTCATCATCCCATTGTTCAAACGTCTTCGCAAGGTTTACGTTTGATGAAATTGTGATTAGATATCTTGAGCCGTCCTGGCTAAATCCTCCTCAGTCTGTAGATAGTAACATCTAAAATCACATTTCCAACCTTTATATTCCAATCATTGCAATCGTATAAATTTTCAAATCGAAGTCTAACAATGCGTTCGTTGATGGCTTATCTGTATCTACGCATTTCTATGCGATAGTGCTAATGCTACCTTCTTCCCAATAGCTTGCGCTAGTCATCACTGGAAGACAGGGACTCCAGTGACTTCGCTGAAGTGTTTGAATGCTTCAGTTCAGCACTCGCTTCCCGAGTCTCAAGAAGCAATCTGCCATTCACTGGCTAGCTTCACGAGGTTTCTACTTGGTTATGACAATATGAATAAGACATTTCCACCTGGTCCGACTAATGATGAACTTTGCACACTTCGGCCTCTCACTCAAGTTGAAATCATGTCCAGCCGACAAGCCTTTTCAACAAATCCAACATCTGTTCAAGCCAAACCTACCAAAACTTCCATGTCTCTGTTCAAAATGTTGTGCCTCACCGACTTGGAAAACCACGGTATTACCCGACTGTCATTTGAATGGAATGTGACAGACAGCTCTTGGAACCGCACAATGGCTTTGTTTGTTGTCAAGCATTGGCAATATGCCAAATCACAAGGCACGCTCACCGACTCAATTACTCCGTCCCACAACACGGAAGACATATGTCTTGGGACATTACTGCGATGGATTCGTGGCTGGGGTGTAGAAATTTGACAAGGCCGTTGATCCGCCCAAAAAAATCTTTGGAAGGAGACCTGCCGCAAGAAAAGAACTGTATGTGGTTCAATGCGATAATGAACAACTTACCGTATACATATTGACGTGTTGTTACTCTTCAGCTGTTTAAATACCGTGTCAATTCACTATCCCGTCTTATAAAAACACACAATCTCCCCCAACAGGCATCTGACATTTTGCCTCATCAAGACTGTTGTTCCGAGACGGAATGGCAGCCTGAAGAGACGCATTGTCTGGCGGTTGGCTTAGTCTGGCGAAGTCAACAATATACTTTGATATTACATCAAATCAACAAGCTTTCTTTCAAGTACTGCGAGTCTACAAAAGGCCAACTACTTGCCTCCTGGAGGTTTGATCAGATTCGGACACCCGCGACCTACACAGATGCAAAAGCTCCTGTTTGTCCCGGCCTGCCGGAGAATTGCTATGACCCTGTATTCCTTTCAAGTTTAAGTACAGAGGCAAAAATTTCACTTTGAATGAAGCCTGTTTCCACTTTCTTGAATACTTTACCTATTCACTTTGAAAATTCTCTTGTCTAGCTCATCTCTCATTTGCATATTGAGTAAGTTTGTCATACATTAATGATTGAGTATTAAAAGTTGGATCAACTCGAAAATCATAAACTTTCATACATTGTGAAGTTGAGAGTTAATGTTTTGAAGATGAAAGCATTGTAACTCCTAATGTCATTATAAAAAGAACGGCTAAGATGTACATGGTGAATTTTTCACTATTAAATCATTAGAATTCTTTTGAATTAGTTTCTTTGATAGAAAGGTTTTGGTTTGTAGATGTAGATGTAAAATTTATTGCAGACTTACAAATGTTGAGAGTATTGGAATCGATTTGTTTCAACACAAACAAACAGTTCTAAAACAAAAAACCAAAAAATGAACTTCAGAGAGAAAATAAAGAGAATTTATCTCGACCGGTCATTCTGAGTAACATCAATTGGTGGAACTGCGTGGGCAGGGTCCTTAAGTTGAAGACATATCGGAAATACTCTGGAAAAAAACATAAATCTGTTAGATGTGACATATGCTGCAATGCATACATGTGATTAACACTTACCATGCTTTGCAGACTGACCAAAGATAGTGTGGCCTTCGAGATGCTAAACGTTCCAGGTTGATTATGAAGTGCCGCACAATGGCCAAACAGATGCTCGGGAAGTATTGATTGGAGTGAAAGATCTTCGTTATACATGACAGTGGCATGCAAGTGAGGTACCAATCGATATGGGTTCCGGTTCTCATCAATGGGGTCAAGCGGTGGGAAAACATGAAGCACAAATATGGGAGTGGAATGACTTTCAGGGTATATAATGTGATGTATTACCCCAACTCCTTTTTTTCCGTGATGATGAAACTCTACGTAGCTGTTGCCAGGATGTTTGCTGTATGTGCTGAAAACCTTGCCGCTGTGTCGCCAGGACGTGGTCTTTTCAAAATTCACGCATGTGGTCAAACCAATCTTTTCTAGTATTGGTTTGATTGATTCACATACATCTGAAGACGGCGATGAGTTCTTTTTTTTAGGTGATGAATTTTGAAGAATTATATCAGCACCAATTTGTTCTGCGTAGTCCGGAGGTACATTTCGAAGGAATTGCTGGAAAGATGCTCGCTGTTGATATTTCTTCATCATTGTCTGCCCGACAACGCCTAGAAACATTTAGACAAAAGTTAGTATGCCGTGTAGAACACGGGGTGTTTTGAGAGAAAACGAGTAACTATCAAGAACTCACCTCGATCTCCGCTTTTAGGTTGGGCTACCATAGTGCCAATTATGCGCTCTCCAAACCAGCACGCAGTGTATGATGGAGGTCCAAGAAGGCGTGATTGAGTAGCAATATTTTGTGCGTAGTGGAGGTTTGGCTTGGATTTGATGGTAGGCCAGATCTTGCAAAGGTGTGTTCGGTATTTGACAAGCAAAACCGGTAATATGGTGAGGTTGTCGGGTGTCATTGTTTGCGAAACGCATATGTTGAGGATCTGGATTGCAAGGGTGAGAGCCGTGTAGATATGGGAGGCATTGGATCTGAGTTCAGCTTCATGGTGGTAGGGGACAAGAGAAAGCACCATATACACTGTATATAAGCTTAGCCACTCGGCCGCTTTGGGTGTGCCAGACGTTGGCATTCCAATCTTTGACGGAACCCTGGTTAGCCACGACGGGACAATGGTTGTTTCAATAGTTTTGTGAACCTGCTCGAGCTCAGTAATGGTGAGACTGGGTCCCTTGGGAACTTGAATCGTGCCATTTGAATCCACAGTCTTATCAGAGTGGTTATCACTCGGTTCTTGGGTTGTTTCCGTGTCAGTCTTCAATTTCGCAGCTCGATCATATTGTGTTTGTGTTGATGAATGGGAAAAGTTGATTGATGAATCAAGGAGGCTTCCTGATGCAGATGAGACGCCTAAATCGATGTCACCAAGGTTACCAAGTGCCAAATTGGATTCAACGACCCTGTATCTTCCATTGGTGACCGAAGCATCCTGTTGCTTCTTCAAACCCTTGCCTGCTGTACAGATTTGCAGGTACGTATTGGAAAGGTCGGCCAAAAGACCCATTATGAGGCAGTGCATGATGTCAATCGTGGCGAATTTGAGGGGCTGCCAATAGGGGAGGTCGTAGAAGGCAGAATGACGGGCCCCGTTACCCTTCATGAGTGTTTCCTTTGCCTTGGAGTATCAGCTTCAATCCATCTTTTTACCTGCGTTTTGTGGGTACGTGCAGTCCTGGGTTTGAAGACCTTCATGTCAATGAAGCTGACATCGTTCAAAGTGATATAACACTTTGAACAAAAGTTTGTTGAAGTATGACCAGAGAAGCCCGAAATCTTCTTCATTGCGGGGACGTCGGCAAGAAGGGGCCAGCATGCAACAGTTATGACTCGGCCTTTGGGATGCTGAGCTGTCTTGCTGAATTTAATTCCATTCCACAGATCTTTAAGCTCGGATATAAGTGGGGCTAAGATTAAGTCCATCTGATCGTGAGTGGGTTCCCTTCGGCTGGGAGTGAAGCCATACAAAAAGATGTTTTCTGCTTGGTATTGAAGATGAGGTGGTAAATTAAAGCAGATAAGTAACATGATACCAGCTTTGTGTTGGCGCCCGCGTTTGGATCTGTAAGGGTCAAACCAATCACAATAAAAGCCGAAAACCAAATTCCCAGACCTCCGTGTGAAGATCTGGCCATCTTTTTTGAATGTACTCCAGAGACTGCCGTCCCAGATGTCTTGCATGTTTCCATCAGGAGGCTTGTGACGTGTCAGAGAGCTGTCAAGACTGTTTTCAAAAGACGGATAGCGCAGCATAGTAGCCAGCCAATGAACTAATCTCTGATGATAAAACAATTGCGCTGGTCGGAGCTTTGTAGAATTCTTGGCGGGAGGTTTGTACAAGTTTGCTTTGCAACGGAATTTGCGTTTAGAAGAGTCGGTGGTGGAAAATCGATAGGCATCGCAAGTTGTCTTACTTGGCGTGCCTACAGGAGGTCCATGGAGAGCAAAGCACACTGGGCATGATAGTGTTCGTAAGATGCGAGCTTCCAGGTGGAAACATTTTATAAGCTTGGGAAGTGAGTTCGGTATTTTGTCCCAGATAGGTTTGGATGAGGAATCTTGGGAAAGGAATGAACTCTTGACTTTAAGCTGCTCCAGCTGGAGTGATGTATGACACGCCTTCACTGAAGCATTCCTCAAAAGATGATCATTCAAAACACTAATCATCGACTGCACACAGGAAGGATGCTGAAGAAGCACGCGAGGCGTATAGAACTCTTCAGTAGACAATCTTAGCTGGTATGACGCTGCGTTGGTAAGCCGTGAATTCTTGGGAAGGGGCGGATCAGTGGGCAAACGCGAGGTAGATGCTGTTGGCCCAGTGTCAGGTGAGCGTGGTCGCTTATGAAGCACGCGCGCAGTGATGGTTTCTTGGTTGGATGTACTGTCGGTGAGGCGTGCATTCTGGCAAAGGCGTGGTTGGCTTTCCGTGTGAAAACTAGATGAGGTTGATGGAGGCTCTGGCGATCGGGGGCGTTTAAGACTTCCGACAGGGGCCACACTATGGATATTGGTGGATATATTGTTTGAACTTTGCGCCGTTGTAGTTGGTGCGGTGGTTGATAAGGTATCTTCAGGTACGTTGACGGTAGCTTGAGCAATTGATGCTTGTAAATGCCGTGGGTAGTTTGTTTTATGGAATAGCCGGCCCGTCAGGATTTCACCATTCTTTTCGAACTGCCGAAGAGAACATCCTAATGGGTTGCAAGTGCAGATGGTATGGTTGGGGCCATAAGAGGCCATTTAGGTGTGCGTGGGAAGTCAACAGCTTAAGAAGCGTTATGATCATATATATATATAAGAACTTCCACTGTGTCAGTGGGGCTCAAATTATAGAAAGACTCGGATCAATAAGTACTCGTTGAAAGAGATACTTATTGGTCCAAAATTCACAGTGCACTGCAGATTGTTGGGCCGTTTGATGTGGTAGGAGATGTGCCAGGATAGACATCTTGCTTCCTAACGTGCATGATTGCAAGTTTTGATCTCAAACCTCGGTCGTGCACATAAGCGAGAAAAGCCCTCCATGCAGGGTTTCAAAGTGTGGACATCACATTTGCTGAATGTGGAACCATCGTGTCATCACAATTGCCGCTGGTGGTATTATCGTGTCATCACAATCGTTGATTGTGGTATTATTGTGTCAGGTTGGAAATAGTATGAGACCGTAAAACTCTCTTGGGTATGGAACCGCTTTCCATACCCAAGAGAGTTTTACGGTCCCATACTATTGCCTGACATGATCGGGTCCAAATCAACCGGCTGACCGATCATTTCCGATGTTCATTGAGGTTGAGTCCCTCTCGGATATCATGTTGTTGAGGTAGGGTAGTTAGGTTGAACCGTTCCAATGTTCATTGAGGATATATGCGACTCGGATGGGTCACTAGGAATGAAGAGGTGGTTGGAGGGATGTTATCATCACACTTCAAGTGAAGGATTTTGGAGATATAACATGTATGCATATGTATACTTGTTATATATGTGTGTATACCTTACCTCATCAAGGACCAAAGTACCTTATTCTGTTGATGATCAAATGTTGATTATTCACAAACTGAAAGATATCAGCCACAAAAAATTCATCGACTCGCTTGACTCTATTCAATGGAGTGGATTACCAACAGGATGAACTATGCTATCAACAGAATGAAATATGTACACGTTTAAAAAGAATAGAACAGAGAAAGTCACAAATTCAACACAGCTTTGAAAGACTATATACAACTATATACAGCTATGCACACAATGAAAGGATTGAAGAGCACTTTTAGCGCAGTAACCTCGAAATTTTCAGCCCATGCTGGAATCACCGGTGGCATCCAATGCCAGGCTAGCCTTTGATCTGAACACCCTCTTGAATTCCAGGATTGATTCCTGAATATCAAATACATCGTTGTCTTGTAAGGCCAACTCAGCTAACATCAGACCTTCTTGCTGGTCATACCACGCTGGAGAAATCAAAGATAATTGAAAGCCTTTTGGGGGAAACCTGTCGGCATCCGGTGTAGGCGCATATTGGCCTCTTTCAACCAACTCTTTTGCCGCTCTTTTCTCTCTGGGGATAATTTTTCCACGCCAATGCGCCTGGTCTAGCAAGTCAATCAATGTATCCAACCCTGAGCTGCGCCATTGTAAACTTAGCTTTTGACGAGACCCAGATGAATCAGACGTTTTGAGCTTGTCATCCGAATGAACTTCAGGGTGACAGAGCATTGACCATTCTGGAGAGTTTTTGCCAAACATTTTCTCAGCTTGAGCTTTTCGTGCATTGTAGAGCTGCAAGAATCATTAGGTTAGTCTTGTATATTGTATTCCAAATTAAGCAACACCGATTTCACTAACCTTGTTCTTCATGCGCCTTTTGCTGATGATACCCTGAGTCTTCAATAAGTTTTCTTCCAGCTTCTTTCTACCTGCTGGATTCTGCAATAACACGCCGTTCCGGGTTTGATCTCGAAATTTTGGAGCCTTGTTTGTACACCACCGCCGAAGCACTTCCTCATGATTTGCCGCGGTGTTATCAGAAGTGAGGATTCCAAACTCTCGTGCACCATTTGCATCGTAAGTTTTGACCCAATGCGCAAGGATGATTGTGGCAGTTGTTGTGTTCCAAGGTGTATTGTATGACGCTTCCCAGTCAAATGTACAACGTGGGAACCCCGCCATTGCTAGAGCCGCCTCGCACTGTTTTCCAAAGTGATGTGGGTATCTTGATCTACCACGATTCAGAATTTGAGAGGTGAAAATTACTGGCTGCATCGGCTTTTTCAGAGTTGCCATTTCAGACGCATCCTTTTCGACGGTTTTACGTTGTTTTTGATTGGGTTGGAAACCAGGCAACTTCTTTGCAATATATTTCTCCATTGCTTTATCTTGAGCTTGGCAAATATAATCTTCTCGACCTTGTTTTTGGGTTTCCCAGGCTTGGTGTTCCTCCTCTGATGGTGGGTCTGGCAATTTTGTTTCTTCAAAGCCACTGAGGGCTGAGGACCCTCTGGCCTTTCGTGGGATCCCCATAAGCAGTTTAGCAAATTCATGTATTGCTCTAGCAAGAGGGGTCGATGGCTTGGGGATGGGATGTTGTGCGGCGATCTTCCATATCTCAGCATTTTGGTGCCTGATTTGAGTCAGCACTTTGAGTTGCACAGCTCTTTTTCTTTTCCGTTCAAGGACTTCGTCATGGGTGAGATCTCCATCTGGTACACACGACGTTACAAGCATCATCAGTTCTCAATTGCTGCCGTCTATATGACATTACACTGCATCGTATTACTTTTACTCACCTGAATCTTTGTCATCATCGGAATCTGAGTCACTGTCCTTGTCGTTGCCATTTTTTTCATTGGCGACTAAAATGTCATAAAATAATCAAAGTCTTCAGTGATAACCCCAATGAAGACGATCCTTTGAAATCAGACACATACCAGGATCATCGTCTTTGTCTAGACGTTGACGCTTTCCATTCTGAGTTGGTGTGTGAGCAGTCATTTGCGTTGATGACATTTGGGTTGATGTGGGAGCAGCACTCATTTCGGAAATTATACAGCGAAATTGAGTTTTCAGAGGATTATGACAAAAATCAGGACCAATGATAGACAAATTTAAATATGTATGTTTGTTTGTAAAGAAAGAAAGTATCAAAAACACCAAAGAAGAGTCAAAAGATAAAGTAATGTTATCGGAATTTGGACAAGAGAAGGCTTTCAATAGAACAAATGAAATAGACACAGCTGACCAGAAAGAAACACACGGAAAAGACTTATGATCCAATGATTGAAGTCAAACAAACGAGAACTAGATGTTATAGGCAATTCCAAACTTCGGGCTTTGTCGTTCTAGCCCTACAGTAAGGAAGGACCCCCCAACAGTGCAGGCAAAACTGTCCCAGTTCAACCTCCAGACACGCACTAATTTAGCCAACAGCCCCAGTATTACTTGCATCCCTTCCAATCATTCCACCAGGGTTATGTACATGTGTATGTGCTTTTGGCCTTTTTTGGCTGTCCACCTTTGGGATATGATGCATTTCGGATGTCTTTCACACCAGTGCATGCAGAAACCAGTCGCTGTGTCCAAAATGTTTACTGGACTTGTGTATTGCGAGGGCTTATCTGCAACAAATTCTCTCAAGAAAACCCTTGGAGGTGAAGCCAATGCCACATCGAATAGGGTTCACTTTGATTTACTTTTTGACATTGCTAGTTTGGCACATTTGATACGACGACCTCTGTCAAGCTTTCAATACATGTTCCATGGTCTCTGTCTCAGTGGTTTGTGTGTCTTTACACCGGCAACAACACATGTATATTCATATGTCTCTTGGAAAAGTTGAAATCAACCGTCGAGTGCTTTATTGAAGGACTCGCGCTTGATGCTTGCTTGGGCCTTGAGGCGAGTTAGATAGCCTTGATATGATGTAATTTTTTTGCATGTAGAGGTCGTGGCTATGGCAAGTTGTTCCTTAAGGGTATTTTTTTGGGATGCAAATTTGAAGCCATTCAAAGGAACTCACTGCTCTCAACGGAAATCAGCATCACTGGTTGAACCAGGTGTCAGGAATACTGTGAAACATTATTAATGTTTCACAGATGATGTGCAAAGAGGCCCAAATCGCCCAGCTGACCATCCAGCACCAACATGAATCAAGATCGAGGTGTGGAAGCAGTATAGGCTCTTGAGAGCGACAAGTTGATAGGTGTAACTCACTGCTCTCAACGGAGCATGAGACCAGCATAACTGGTCGAAGCAGGTGTCAGGAATACATAATGACATTACAGATGTTTCACAGATATTGTGCAAAGAGGCACAAATCGCCCAGCAGCTAAGGATCCCGCATCAACATGATTTGAGATCAAGGTGTGGAAGCAATTTAGAACCTCAAGAGCTACAATTTGATACATGTGAGATAGGAAACCCTTCACTTTCTCTTTACAGATGCACAAAGATAGGATAATAGAAATATGTAGGATTTATGGACTCCACATAAGTGTGGAATCTTAGGGGATAATTTAGTGTAATCCAATGATGCCAAGCCGCAAAATCCACCATAAGAGTGTTGAACTGCTTAAATTTTGACGGCGCTGTGAAATCATTTTAGTTTGATGTCAATCAAATGAATCAAATCAGCATCATGTCCACATGTATCTACCAAAGGAGCACAACTAACATACCATTTAGACATAGGCCAAGCGCCTTACACTCCGGCATCAATGGTACTTTCAGTATCATTGATGTCCACTGAACAACCTTCACCAATATTGGCCCGTTGGACTTTGAGTGCATCAAGTTTAGAGATGATCTTCTCAATGTCGTTTCTTGCTTTCTCCAATTCTTCCAAACGTTTGGGGAGGGAGTCTTGTATGTTGCTCTTGAAGTTAGAGAAGTTCGTGATGACATCCTGTAAGTCTTCCTGCAACTTTGCAATTTGAGTCTTGAAGCGATCTTCCGCGTCTTTTATCGCGTTTTGTTCGGCAGACATGGTGGTTATATCAATCTCATTTTCGCTGTCGTCCATCTCATCGCAAGAGACATCATCATCACTTAAATAAACATCATTTTCGAGATGGTTGAGGGGAGGTGTCAAAAACTCTTCATCATGACGTGGAAAGAGTGAAGCCATGTTTCCAATAGCCGGCAATATAGGGGCTTTCATTTTGAGTTCCACAATCTCATTAGGTAATAAATACTCTTTGAATTCAACGCTATAGAGGTCGGAAGGAAGGTGTCGGGTTATAAAACCGTACTCGGTTGACGAGGAAGTGACGTAGTTGCGAATCGATAAAATCTTTCCAGGAGAATCAGTGCGAGACTTGGCGCAAAAGCGAGATCGGCTCTCTACATATTCAACAAAGGCGACCATTTTGTGTGACCACCATCGGGGTATGATAAATTGCATCCCTCTAACAGCATGAGGACCAGGCGAAAGTTTTATCTCGGAGATATTGCCCATGATGGTGTAATTCCTTGGCTGGAAAATTTGGGCGACCTTGCTCGAAGCACCCAACATGAGCAAGTAATCAAGGTATTCCTTGCAAGCCTGGATAGAGAATCTAGTTAGGAACACAGAACCAAGATGAATGAAAAAGAAATTTGAGCAAACCTTTTTTTTCTCCGCTTCCATGAAATGATAGTCCAAGAGTTCTGAACTTTTGCATTGTTCTGGAACACAGAACCAAGATGAATGAAAAAGAAATTTGAGCAAACCTTTTTTTTCTCCGCTTCCATGAAATGATAGTCCAAGAGTTCTGAACTTTTGCATTGTTCTTGCTACATTGAAGCTAGCCTTTTGAATTGTACGGAAAGCACCGGCATGATGATTGCATGTCTGAGAATCAATTCGTTGATTGTGAATCGATAGGAGCGAGCTTTGATAGCACGGTAAAAGGAAGTCCAAAAACAATCGCCAACTAAGTGGTTCACACGATCGTCCATGTTGGTATCGTAGTTGAAAGAAAATCGCGCAAGTCCCCAGCGCATCAGGTCTATTTCGACTTCCTTCAAATCATCGGCGTCCATGTGTACGCCCGTTGGGACAAAATCCGTGGCGTCAATCAAAATAATTGTACCACTGTGAGGAAGTGGAGCGCCAATAGGGAATCGATCAAGCAAACCCTGTTGCTCAGGGACCAAAAGTGACGGGGGTATTGGCAAAGCTTCAGAGTCCCGACACATCATTACCTGCGATGCCTGCGGACAAGAGCCTAAGGTAATAAGAAAGAAAGAAAATAAGCAAAAATCTATTGACTGATGAGCAAAGAAAAGAACGCACATGAACTCGGGTCATCTCCATCTTGGACAAAGTGCCAAGTGCATCGTTTTGACGAACCGTTCTTGCCCATCTCTTGACACTTTTAGATTTAATGGTGGATGTTTTGTATGGACTGGATTACATTGTAACTAGAGTTCGGTTCAGCAATACTAAAGACTAGATTGTACAAGATTCTCAGGAAGGTGGGTGGTTTTTTGAGATAGTCAAAAGTAGGGAAATCTTCAAATCTCAAGTCAGGCTTTATTTGAATTTTTGAGGCCCATGTGAGAGCTTATTGCAGCCTGGAAGAAAGATAGAGAGGCCAACATGAAGCCAAAGCAGCAACTTGGAAACAACTCGAAGTGAGGGTGCAAGGGTAAAGCCAAGCTGTTGGTTTAACAGTCATTGATCAAGAACACCAGCAAGTCTCTGAGATATCCAAGACCATTGTGCAGATAGTAATTGAGCAAGAGATCCAGCCGATTTCTATGCATTTCAGTAGAGCGATACCGCTCAAATGACTGTAAGAGCACACAAATTGATCTCAACGTGTGCGTGACATCATATGTTAAACGCAAAAGACCAACATTAAGTGGGTTTGGTTAGCTTTGACGACATGTTGTGAATCTGTGAAGTTGGAAGAACTTCATAACGGAAGAGGATCAGGTCTCAAACAACCAACATTAAGTGGGTTTGGTTAGCTTTGACGGCATGTTCAGAATCTGTGAAGTGGGTAGGACAGCGGAAGAACGTCATAACGGAAGAGAATCGGCTCATTTTGTCAGAAAGACCGGTGAACCAACTCTCAACAGACAAGCTCAGACTGCCTATGTCTCATCAACGTCTCGCTAGTTGAACACTTGGACAAAGGCCAGTTGGATTGGAAATGTAAGACCTCTTCGAGACAGCTACCAGTGTTCTACAGCAGGTCATTTGTGTGTGCACGTCGACGTGCTATAGCAAAACTGACACGGTGTATGCATCAAAAGGTAGGTTTGAACAAAGAGGCACTGATCATATCCTGCAAGACACATAGTGAAATTAGTACGCCAGTTAGATCTTACATTGTGCTCATATTGTCCAAGAAGCTGACGTGGGATTGCAAGCAGTCACATTGCCAGATTGTTCGGTTTTGATTAGGCCTTCGCCCCGGCACCTCCCCGGCCAATCTGAGGTATCCCACGGCCCGAACCCGCGGGGTCCCCGGAACTCGGGGTTAGTGTTTTCCTCTCCCGAGGCCCGCCCCCGCACTCCCTGCCAGGGTATGCGGGGGCTGCGGGGAGCACCCTAAAAATTAAAAAAAAAAATCCCAAAAAAGGAACCCAAGGGGTCAGAAGACTCCATCACGACTCGTCTCACACCTCCTCTAGCGCCCTCTAGACCTCCAAACTCAATCAAATCAACAAACTAAATTACTAATAGTCTAAAATGGTAGTCAAACAGGCCTCGGACGGACCAGGAGACGCAACAACCGCGATTCAAGGGGAAGGTTTAGATGAAACCTTCCCTTTTCCCCTTTCTCTTACCCTTTCTTTCGCCTATTTAACTCCATTTCCCTTCAAGTTCAAATCACCAAAATCACTTTATCCCCTCATCGATATCATGGACCAAATCGATCTCACCGGTGATTCTGCGGGTAGTCAGGCCGGAGATGGCCCAGAAGTCGAAGATGCTCATATCAACACAGCCTCTAACAACGGTAAGAGAAGCTGGTTTTGGACTCACTTTAACCCTACAGCGTGCGGCAAGAAGGTTCAGTGCACTGTGACATCAAAGCGTGGGATAGAATGTGGAGCGTTACTCGTTCGTGACCTAAGATCAAGCACGAAAGGGATGTCCGATCATCTCACCGCCAAACATAAGCTTGGAGATCCCAACAAGAGGGCAAAACGGATGGGCATGATCCAGCAATTCTTGGAAACTGGGAAGTCAAAAAGCATGGTAAGTGTTTCTCTGAATCTTTTCATCCTTCTATCATTCTTCATTCTTCAGTCTTTTCTCCTTTTTCTCACTCGAGTCTCATCCATCCATGATTGTTTGCTTCATTTTGAAGCCTCGCTTGACTACAGCTTCTCTAAAGACAGCGATCTGTTATCTTATTTCCGATTGTGATCTTTTGTTTGCGATGATCGAGAAGAAGTCATTTACTACTTTACTTAGACTTTGTAACGCTGAAACAACTTCCATGATAGTCAAGGAAGATGCTATAACTCGACACTTGCGAGAGGTGCTTCTCTTTCATCAAGAACACCTCCAAGGGCAACTACTCGCTGAAGCTCCCGCCGTCTCATACACACTTGATGCGTGGACAGCGCCGAACAATACGGCGTTCATGGCGGTCACGGCTCATATGATCAACTCGAATTTTGAGAAGGTCGATGTCCTTCTCCGCATTCCTCACGTCCAGGGTCAGTGTTTCTATTTTCTTCAAATAATTTGAACTTTTAACTGATTTGTGGTTTCTTTCAGGAGCCCACACGGGCAAAAACTTTGCGGAATTGTTTATGGAAACAATTGCCCCTTATGGAGGTCTGAAGAATCTCGCCTCGATCACCACGGACAATGCATCCTCCAACAAAACCATGGCAAAAGAGATCGAGGCTGCTTCGGGTGGGACTTTCAAGGCTGACAAGAACCTTCTAGGCTGTGTAGCACACGTTCTAAATCTAGCTGTGATTGCTGGACTCAAAGTTCTCGGGCCACTTGATGAATCCTCAGACGACGGCGACGATCTCCCAGCAAATCTGATGGCCATCGACCATCTGGTGGATACACCTGATGGAGCCCATGTCGATATGGCTTCTGTTTACAAGCGTATTCATGGTATCTCTACTTACACTTGCGGCAGCCCTCAGTGCCTGGAGTCGTTTCAGAACTTCATTCGACTGTTCCCACCTAACACTTCTACACCTACTGCGGCTCAAACGCTAATCCTTGATGTGCAAACTCGTTGGAACTCCACCTACGCTATGTTTGAGTGTGCCTTGTTACTCAGGTACGTTCAACATAGCTTAATTACTCACCTTCCTATGCTGACAACTTTTTTTCTCGCATAGGACTGCTTGTGATCAATTCTCTGCTACCCCTGAGGGAGCGAAGTTCAAGTTGACTCCAATTGAGTGGAAGCAGCTTGAAGTTATGATCAACTTTCTCAAACCGCTTAATGATGCGACCGAGCGACTTTGTGCAACCAGGTACCCTACAATCAACAGTGTGATTCCAATCTATGTTGTCGTGATCAACAAATTACAAGCGGTAAGATTTCTTTACCACTCTTCATCATTGGTTTCTCAAGCTAATTGGATTCAAGGTTTGATGATCGCAGGTACGCCATACATACGACATCGGTCAGCTTATCCCAGCAGGAGATGACATGATCAACAAACTTCAAACGTACCTAATTGCTGCCTTGAAGAAACCAGGCCCCGTCTGTTTGACTATTCTAGATCCTCGTGTTAAATTAGAGTTTTACAAAACTCACTTCGACTCTCTTGCAATCTGTGGGCACTTGGTTGACTCGTTGAGGGCAGACTTCATCGAAGCTGCACAGGCTTATTCCAGCTTTGCGACTCCTGAGATAATCAACACCCATTCACCAGCTCCCACCCCCGCTACATCACTTGACGACAACCTGTATGGCGTACCAGAAATCTCCGACAACAATTCAGTCACAAACGAGATTACTCGTTATCTTTTGGAGCCGCTTGAACACAAGGATAACGATATCCTTGCGTACTGGAAGGGAAGGGTGAAGGCTTACCCTGCCCTGTCTGCCATGGCAATGGCTTACCTCGCCATTCCAGCCACAAGCTGCCCTTCCAAGCACGTCTTTTCCAAAGGCAGGGCTGTCCTGCGATATTCAAGATCAACACTTAATCCCGATACAGTTGAGCGTCTTCTTTGTGTTAAAGAGTGGTACCGCGCCTTTGGCCCAGTTTGGCCCAGCTTATTTCAATGGCCTCGATGAATAAATGAAAAGGGTCTTGATTACAAATGATAGGAAATTGAAAACATAGTGATATATGTGATTTAAAGTACAAAAGTGCTGTCTTATATGGAATGAAATACACCTTTGCCCATGTTCTGCTGTCCCCCAAAAACTTGCCTAAAAAGCCGGGGAGTGCGGGGAATTGCCATCGCTCCCGGCTCCCGCCCCCGCTGGTCCCCGCGGGACTTCCCAAAAGCCGTCCCAAAACCTGCCCCCGCGGGGGCGGGAGCCGGGGAGTCCCCGAAATTCCGGGGTCGGGGCGAAGGCCTAGTTTTGATGCCCCCGTCTGATTCAAGAATCCCACAACCAGGTAATTAGCAAGACAATTTTTGTATTTCATGAAGTGGGTCTGTTGACTGACTTACGTTCTCCTAATTACATTCAAGCAGGGGGGCATTCGCGTACTGTTGATCCTGCTACAGAATTTCCAAGCCTAGAGCATGGTCGGTTGGCTTTTCCTTGCCCAAAGCCTACTGTTTTGAATCCAATGGTCGCACCAAAATATTGGAAAGATAAGGGAAAAGAAATCCCTGAAGATGACGAGGACTGGACCCCCGCAGATGAAGTATCATCAGCAGAATCCGAAGTAGATGACCGTGTGATCAGAAACCTAGGCGGGACAAAAAACTCGAAAAATCACTTCCCAAACACTCATCAGTCAGGTTCAAACACAACCAATCCGAATATAAAGAATCCAACAACCAATCCAAACACCCCACCGGCTGATCCTCTGTTTGAAGAAGACTTTAATCGGAACAAAGGCGTTCAAGATCCGGATTTAGCCTCGACTGTTGCTGAACAGACTCGAACTATAGCTCACCTTCATGTGAAGTTGACCAAAACAGATGCCAAGGTTGAAGCCCTCGAAAGCGAGGTGAGGACTTTGACTGGCATTGTTGATAAATTGATTGGGAAGAGTAAAGAATCTGAAGAAAGTGGAAGCAAAAGTGGGGGCCGGACAGCAGTAAGCTCAGAGTCTTGAACTTCAGTTTTAAACAAAAGAAGAATAACTTATGTTCTAAAAAACCTTTCTTAATGTCTCAAACAGGCTTGTGTGCAATTCCATGTGGCGTGTATGTTAGGTCCAGGTGCCCACAAAAAGCTCCCCAATCCTGCAAGTTTGGAAGAGAAGGCAAGTTGGTTGAGTCAACAACCAATTCACTCGGTCGAATTCAATGTGGACTTAGAATCCCAAACGTCGGAGGCAGCAGAAACGAGTTCAAATGCTACACACCCAGATGGTCCAGGACATCCCGACTCAAGCCCTCAACAACTGTCCGTCATACGCCAGATGATGAATGCAGTAAGGGTTGAGAGTTTTTGTCTAGACTTTTCTCGGTCTATGTCCTCAGGTGAAAACAAATGGGTATGGGATCTGGCGATGAAGATTTTTATTAAACTTGTTGAATGCGGAGAGTACGGTGGTATTCCTGTAACATCACAGGGTATCAGTACAATAAAAAAATGTTTCACATCACACGTTGAGTCACTTCAAAAACGGTAAGTATCAATCCAGTCTGCATATATATATACTTGATGCTCTGCTTCTCATGACATCATTGATAAAGCTTGATCATCTAACGCAGGAACCGCCAAGAAAATTGGGACGTTGCACGTAAACAAAAGGCTGCAGACAAAGTGAGACGGTCAACTCGAATGAGACATTTGAGTCCCATATCTTTGGTTCTGACAAAGGTTTTGAATACTGATACTCACAACTCCGTACAGCTGAAAGCTCTACGGGATCAAATAGTACTTTCAAGACAATGTTTATGGCCACTTTTGGTCATAATGCAAGCTGCTTGCAGTGATGATGAGACAGAAACAGATGAAGATGGGTCACTCGACGATGTTGTGCGAGCAAACCGACCATGTCGCGTGAGAAAACTAATTTGGCGCAGTGACGCTTCAGAATCGCTATGTCTCCTAGTTGACAAATACAAATCTAGAGTTGTCGAATCTATTCCTGGGACTTCGCCTGGTCAAAAGGGACGTCGGCCACGACAGCGCATCCGAGGTAATCATCGACCGCTCAGCAGAATAGAAGCGCCAGTTGGCTTGCCAGTAGACTGCTATTCAGATGAGTGGCTGGGAACCTTATCAGCTGTGCAGCGGGCTCAGCTAGAGATACACCCAGCGCCTGTTCTTGGGCAATTCAGTTCTATGCTTGCCACAGATGACTAATTAATACCACTCTAATGTATCTTTTCACATCTTTTGAAAACAACCATATATTTCGCTCTACATATTGTGAGAAGATATGTACATACCAGAGCAAAAATCAACTTCAGATTCAATAGGTTCATGTGTGGACAAAGAAGCATTAGAACACACAGCTCAGCGCTTTAAGTGTCCAACTGACTTATAAATAAAACCTGATAATGGAATATTTAGTTTAAATATCATCACGTGCAGTATTTTGTTGTTCTACGTTCCTCTACTTTATAATATTTTATGTATTGAGATTCAGTAGACTGGAACGGTGATTCCAGATTAGAATCCACATAGAGTCTTTTTGCATAGTTGAGTTTAGAAAACAAAAAAGCGAGAGGAGATTTCAGCAAGACAAGTGTGGCATGTGGTCGAAATAGACAAGATTTTACTTCAACAGTTCCAAAGAAGAAAAGGTTTGGTAAGATAACTTGGACACAAAAGTGATCTCCACTGAGATCTATACCAAAATTGAATCAAACCAAATGAGCTCATTGAATAACAATTATCGTTCCATCGACACAAGCGCTACAGTTGCAAGGTTTAACTGCTTGTGAAGCTCTTGTGGCCTATACATGATCCATGCGCAATGAGAAACTACCTTGTTCAATCTGATAATACGATCTTCGGTTGGCCCCCAAGCATAAAGATGCACCTGAACATCTGGTGACTGCAACATTGGGTTATATGTATCTGGAGGAAGAGGTGGAAAGCATTGAACTTCAATCCAAGTGTCCCAAACACTTTGAGATGATTTTGGTAATCGACAATGGACACAAATGGAGTATATCCTACCAAACATTGTTTTTTTGTTTGTACCAGTGGTGAATTTGATGAAACTATTGTTTGCGTTTGCAGTGAAGGTCGAAAAAGAGACATCCATGTATTCAATATGCTTGTGGAAAAACGCGCGCGGTGTAATTGGAACACATCCAACCAATTCTTCGTCTTTCTTTTGACACCACTCATCGGGAAGGAGCCATGTAAAGGCATCAGCTTTTTCGCTGTTCAAATAGCTGACTATGAGGTTGAGCAGATTGTTGTTGATCGGCTCAAGGTTTGAGTTTGAAAGTTTCTTTGAAGGACGCGGAGGGGGATTGTAAAGTGATTGAAGGCGTGTAGCATACAGTTTCAGAGGTTCAGGGAGTTTATCACCCCCAAGGAGTGCAGAAAGGTTCCCAGCCCAACCAAATCCTTTAACAAAAGTGATTTTGAGTTCACCTGATTTCAAAAGGGACTGTAGATGTAAACAACTTTGATGAGAATGTATATCAAATAGAGAAAAAGCCTACCAATGTGATTGTTGTGGCACCCTTTAAGGATTTTTCCGATCAAACATTCAAAAGGGAATGACCACCAAGCACGTACGGGACCAAAATGTTTGAGACAATCGGCCAGGTGTATTGTCATGTGATGATTTGGTGCAAGACTACAATGCTGAAAGAGTTTCGCCGAACTTCTTAGATACTCCTTGACATGATGGCGATACCTTTGGATCTGATCAGCATTCATAGTACGCTTCAGAGCCAAGTTTACAAGAGAGACGAGATGACAAAAATTTTTGAGAAGAGCAGTTTTGGAATGATCTCGACCGCTCCATAGCGGAATCAATGTCAAGGGCAATTGGATTGTAAATATATTACGCCATTCATCGGCTTTTAGCTTTCCAAATGATGCCTTTCCGATCACAGGTAAGGCCTGGACCCGGCCCGGCTTGGCCTCAAAATCATGAGCCGAGCCGGTGTAAGGTTCTATCAGAACCTTCACTGAGGGTCCGGATTCTTGTCCGGCTTGACTTCTCTTGAGAGAGCACTAACTTAGAACTTTGGTTTCTATTGCGACCTAGCTCCAGAAAGTCCCATACGTGGCTCTCTGAGGAGTCAGTAACTCTAATCTAGAAGAATACAAAGAAAGAGAGAAATGGGATAGAAAGACTCACCTAGCTCCAGAAAGTCCCATACGTGGCTCTCTGAGGAGTGAGGACTCTCCGAAGCCAGGCGTTGAGGAGAAAGGTAAGGAGACGCCTATCTAAACCCATGATACAAATCCCATACTTCCTGCCTATCCGTGTACCTCTTACACCCTCCCTTCCTAAAAAGAAAAGTCACTTGAGAAGATAAAGAGAAAGAAAGAAAAAAAAATCTATAGAAGAAAAAAAAAAGAAAACACCCCCACACACAAAAAAAATTTTGAAACCACACTAAAGAGAAAAAAATGGTGCAAATGGCATAACTCGCCCCAGAACTGACCATAACTCGTCCCATGAAAGAAAATTTATATTATAGAGAAAAAGAAAAAAATTGAAAAAGAATTGAATAATTTGGAGAAAATTGAGAGTGTTTCTACGTCTTGAGTCTTGAGGTGAATTAATTTGAATCTTGAGTTGAATTAAATTGAATCTTGAGGTGAATTAAATTGTTTCCTTGTGTTTTGCTGTTCCGGTTTGACTTGTCATGAAATCGTTAATATATTCGTCTCGTCTGTTTTCGTTATCGGGATCTGCTATGTAGGAAATGTTTTTGCTTGCTAGCCGTTTCATGGAATCATGGAAGAAAATTTATGCATCGTACTCACATTGCGGGGGCACTAACGTGTCAATAAAACACACACCCCCTGTCAAGCTTCCTAGCTTTCCCCAGAGATTCCAATCCAGGACCTAGAGGGGATGTTTTCGGAGTCTGACAAATCACGTTGGTGACTGCAACAGTCGCTTCGTCCTCTGGCTTCGCCCGTGCTAGACGTCCTTCTCGGGTTAGGGCACTGTTGTTTGGGAGAGAATCCTGCTTGCCAACCTCTTCTTTAATAACGGGAAAGAAAAACGTATCGCACTCACATTGCGGGGGTGCTAGCGTATTCTCTCGAATACACACCCCCTTGTCACAAATCCTAGCTTGCCCCATGGGCTCCTTTCGAGACTCTCGTGGGGTTGGTTCCGGTCGTGACAAGACCACCTCAGTGGCCGCAACGTTGTCAATAACCTCCTGCTCGGCGATTTGGTGGTATAGCTTAAGCTTCGAGATGTGGAAAACTGGGTGTGATTGGTCGTTTGTACCAAGTTGAAGTCGATAATTCCTGCCCGAATTCAGCACCTCCAAGACCTCATACGGTCCATCATATCGCGCTCGAAGCTTGCTAGTTGGCTTGAATTTACCGCCTACTGCTTGCTGCCGATCGTGACTGTCTATCAAGACCAGGTCCCCAACTTCAAACGCCTGTCCCTCTTGGCGTCTTTGATTGTAATGAAATGCCTGATCTACGCGACTCAGCCATAATCTGTCCCTCCAAGCCGCCCATTCAGCTTGGCTCCTCTCGATCCAGTGCTTTACGTTGTCAGGATCATCTTCGAGCGGTTGTTGAATGGGGAAAAGCCGTGGTATGCGACCATAAACAAAATGAAAGGGAGAGACCCCTGTCGCGATGTTTACGGCTGAGTTGATTGCGAATTCAGCTGCCGGTAATGATTGAAACCACTTGCCATGTTTGTCTCCTGCGTAATGGCGAAGCATTTGACCTACGGTCTTGTTAGATCTCTCGCTCCGACCGTCTGCTTGGGGGTGATAGGATGTTGACAGATTGACTTTCACTCCTAGAAGTTCATGAAGCCTTTTCCAGAACTTCGACGTCCATGCTTTGTCCCAATCGCCAATGATGGACTCAGGCAGGCCGAATATCGAGGACCAAGCGCTATACAATCTTGCCGCTGAACGTTCCGCCGTGTCTCGCTGTGACGCGGCAATGAGTCTGACGAATCCCGTTAGCCTGCATGTGCACGATAATATCATATCATACCCTGAAACTTTTGGAAACGGCCCGATGAAATTGATAGCAATTGATTCCATGGGACTACTCGGAATTGGTGAGCTTTGCAATCGTCCTGAAGTGGCAGTAGTACGCGCTTTGTTTCGTTGGCATGAATCACACGACTTCAGCTGAGTTTCGACCTCTTTCGCCATCCCCGGCCAAAAAAAAGTCGTTCGGAGTCTTGTCAACGTCTTCAGAGCACCCAGATGTCCTAATGCGCCATGAGCTTGTGATATAAAGTCGTGTCAAAGTGTGCTGTGCTGCGGCACCACTAGACGTCCGTCCAAGTATAGCAGGTCATCTTTCATGACACAGTCCTTTCGCAGCGGCAGGACTTTACGTAATTTGATGCAGAACTTGTCAAGTTTGTACCCCTCTTGGATAAGCTTGAGTTCCTCCTCCCCCAACGATGCACGTACCTCACATAGGGCTACCTCGTCCCGTCGAGAGAGAGCGTCAGCAACTGAATTGTTTTGGCCTTTAAGATATTTGAAATCAAGATCAAACTGGGAAAGCGTCTCCAACCACCTTGCTTGGCGCCGGCTAAGGTTACGCTGTGTGAGTAAGGACGTCAGCAAGTGATGGTCAGACATGACGTTTACCCGCATTCCCAACAGCAACAATTTCCATTTGTTCAGCGCATTCACCACAGCCAACAGCTCCTGCTCGTGGACCGGATAATTCTTCTCGGCAGGGTTCATGATGCGGCTTTCATAAGCAATTGGTGAAGCTGTGTCCCATTTGATTCCTTGGAACAGAGCGGCCCCTAAACCATTTCCGCTGGCGTCAGTGAATAACCAAAGTGGTTCATCAGACTCATAATTGAGATTTTGGAGTACCGGAAGTGTAGTGATCAGACGCTTGATGTTGTTAAAGGCTTGCTCTTCTGCTTCACCCCATCGGAAAGGCTTTCCTTTCAGTGATGTACTAGTCAAAGGGCTAAGTGTTCCAACATAGCGTGAAAGCCCGTCGATGAATTTCTTCATCCATTGAACGGTACCCAAGAATTTCAATAGTTGTTTTGAATTGCTGGGTGACGCCCATTTTGAGATCTTCTCTACTTTCTTGTCATCCGGACAAACTCCTGCTTCACTAATTTCATGGCCCAAGAACTTGATTTGCCGACGGAATAGTTTACTCTTCTTGATTGAGCAATAAAGTTTTGCACCTCG